AAACAAAAAACAAAAAAAAAAAAACAAAAAAAAACTCAAATTTAACTCGATATTATATCATAAGAATTATCAATATAATTAAACAATATCAATTAGTCATTCTTTTATATCACATCAATTTTAATTTGCTATTGATTCAATCACATAATTTTAACTACTTGTCATTTTAATAATTTTTCTCCTACTTTTAGATCCACTCAAATTTTAATCATTTTATTTTAAATAAATTTTTAATACAAACTCAAAATCTCACTAAAATCTAATTCAATTCAGACACTTTTTTTAAAATTAACCATGATTAGTAAAAAAAAAAAAACCAACTAAATCTATATACATCAAACCCCGGAGTTATAGTTTTGTTCGATCTTGAATGTGTTCTTCTATTTTTAATATTTTTTCCAACTTTGCCTATGGCTTTTTTTATCTTATTTTCTTTTATTTTAAGAAGTATTAACAACAAAAGGCTAAAATACAATTTTGATCCTATTAAATTAGAAATATAGCAGTTTAGGCTCCTGAAGTTGCATATAACATTTTAAGTCTTGTAATTTAATATTTTACAGCAATTTCAGTCCTCAAAAATTAAAATTGCAATAGATTTCTTAATTTTATCTTTAAGATAATTTTTTTTATTAATAATTTAAATCTTATAATTTAAAATTTTATCGCAATCAACAATATAGTAAATTACATGACTTAAAATATTGTATGTTAGTTTTGTGGAACCTAAATGTCTTTGTGACCAAAAATACTGTAACCATAAAAACTAACAACACGAGACAAGAATGGGAATTAAAGAAAGAGAAAAAAAAATATTGGGAAATGCTACATATTCTTTCGTCAGAATTTGTAATCGTTATAATCTAATTGTTACAAGAGTAATACTACATTGCCAACTTAGTTTACAACTTGACAACACAAGTGAAAATATTTAAAAAAATAAAAATAAAAAATAGACAAGTGGATGTTTTCACTTGTGTTGTCAATCTAGTTGTACACTAAGTTGGTAATGTAGCATTTTTCTTGTTTATAAACTCCCACGAAATAGTTTCTTAACCAACTCTAGCATCTTCCAAAACGATATATAAGACATATTCCATACTCTTCGACACCGGAGCTTTTTCATTTTTGTGGAAGATAAATACTCCGTCAATACAAAAGTTTCGAGATACAGGGAAACAAACAAAAACGGAGCTCCAAATCTAGGCCATGGATACCTTTCGGTTGCTCTTGATTATATCGATCATCATCTCCTCATCTTCATCTTTCTCTCCTGCTGCCGCCGCCACCGCCGCCGCCGTTAGCAGCGGCGACAAAGTGACGCTCGCTCTCTATTACGAAACCCTGTGTCCGTACTGTTCCAACCTCATCGTCAACTATCTGTACAAGCTCTTCGATTCCGACCTCATTTCCATCACCGATCTGAAGCTCATCCCTTACGGAAACGCCAAAATCAAACCTAATTCAACCATCACTTGTCAGGTATTTCTTCAGATTTCAATTCGTTTTTTTCTTTCTTTTTTCTTTTTTTTTTTCGGAATTATGTCTTATTCTTGGTTTTTCTGGCGATTTTATTCCTGGTTCTCCTTTAACGTGGGTACAATAGATGAACCGAATTTTCCCATTTGCGAGTTGAGATGGTTGTTTTCAGAGTTTTCAGCTTGATTTCCAAAGATGAAGAATCAGATATTGAATATCATTTTTATATCTTGTTTTTTGAGAAGATGTGGAGTTTAATTACTTTAGCTTTATATTTTCTCTAGAATACCCTTGAGCTATAATATTTTAGGTTCCATTTGATTTGTTAAACTCCTAGCTGGATGAGCACGGAAATCGGAGAATATCGAAAAATTACGAAAAGCAGCCGAAATAACTCCACTGGAAAATAACCGTAAATTTATTTCACTTTTTCCAAACTGACTTGAACAACAATCACAACAATCCTTACATACTATGTTGGAATGTCACTTGTGAGTTGTCCCACATTGATTTGATAGGGTAAATGAGCCTAGTTTATAAGTCTAGTGGGCTACTCCTCCCATCATCAATTGGTTTTGGGATGGAACCCCACTTGGCTTCATTTGGGCTAACCCTATTATGGTGCGCTTCACTTGTGTGGGACCGCACTCGATTTGTCCTCGATTTGACATGGTATCAGAGCAGGTCTAATTTGGGACCTGCTATGAAAAAAAAAAAAAAAAAACTACCTGGCCTGGTTGTAGGCGTGGGCTGATGAAGGACTCGCAAGTGAGGGAGTTGTCCCACATTGATTTGATAGGGTAAATGAGCCTAGTTTATAAGTCTAGTGGGCTACTCCTCCCATCACCAATTGGGTCTAGTGGGCTACTCCTCCCATCACCAATTGGTTTCGGGATGGAACTTCATTTGAGCTTCATTTGGGCTAACCCTATTATGGTGCGCTTCACTTGTGTGGGACCGCACTCGATTTGCCCCCGATTTGACAGACTATGGAGATTTCATATCCATACCAAGGCAGAACAGAATCTATCTATTAATATATAAAAAGACAATAATATTTACTGAAATAGCAATTAAAAATCAGCAAAAAAACATTTGATTTAAATTCCGCCTAAATTAATAGACATAATCATTTTGGTCAAATATTGAGGTTATTACCTTTATTTGTTGTATGATTTAAATCTGGAATACAATATATTGACAAAACTTACAGCCACTACCTTTATTGGTTGCATGCTTTAAATTTGATATAATATCCTTTATTGGTTGCATGCTTTAAATTTGATATATAATATATTATAAAAATAAAAAGTTTTTTATTTAAAATTAAAAATAAAAAAGTAATTATTCTTACAGGTCAATACTAACTTGGACGTAAACGAAATAGTCAATTATTTATAATTTAATAAATTACTCAATAACTTACGGGTCAATACTAACTTGGACGCGAACGAAATAGTCAATTGTTTATAGTTTAATAAATTACTCAACTACTTAATTTTTTTTTATTTGAATAGTTTATACAAAAATAAATTATTTCAAGTCATGAAACAATATAAATTTTATATTTATACTTATTATTCACATATGTTGTTAAATATATGATAACATTTTACTAAATAACTATTTTATGGAATCACATTATAGTTAAATTGAATTTCTGAATAAAAATTTTGAATTGATACTTATTCTGAAACAAATATGATGTAATTTATTATCAGTTATGTAGTTATGTGCACCACATTGTGTACTATAGATTTGATATTTTCAAAAGCTTAGTTATATTGCTTTTTTTGTTATCTGTCTTATTTTTATTTTGTTTCATAGTTAAGATGATATGAAAAACTAGAAATTTCTTTTCCCAGAATCATATATATTATATTATAAGTTCAAAATTTCACTATTAGGTTTCACAAATATAGTTTATGAATTCATTTATTTTCTTTTGTTATTATTTTATAAGGCTGATTTCAAAACAAAATCCTATAAGAATAAAAATATATTTAAAATAATAATAATAATAATAATAATAATAATAATAATAATAATAATAATAATAATAATAATAATAATTTCCCTTTTTATTCCTAAGGAAATGAGTTTTATCCGTACTGTTTAGGCATGACTAATACAACCATTGGGTCTATTCGTCATTGTTGGTCCGACAGGAATTTGACTAGTGGCATTCATAGTGTAGAAGATATGCTGTGGCCTTGTGGAGCTAAAGAAAAGCATTTTTAATGCAAAAACTCTTTGTTCAATAATGGAAAATTTTAGTAGCCAAGCCTGCTTTCTCATATCCTTCCAAGAATGTTTTTTTTCTTCTTCACTTTTTAATCTTCACATCATTAATTCCACCCCTCTTGTGACAAAGTGTCAGTAGGGTTGCCTTACAAAAGCCTTTGCCTTAAATGGCAGCTTCATTGTTGACTTTAGCAATGATCTCTAGTGATGAGCTTAACTGATGTTGATTCAATCTTGTTCCTTGCGGCAATGCCAAAATTTCTGGAGACTGCAATATTGCCAGGTCATGCATATAAAAGTGTTTCTCAACCTAGAATTAAGTTTATATGAGGCAATTAGTATCTGGAAAATCACATCTTCTCACTCTTATTGTTGAGTTTTGTGGTTATCTCGTTTGAACAGCATGTCTGCAATCTGCATTCGCATAACTAATTGAATTTCTTAATGGTTGCAGCATGGCCCGTGGGAATGCATACTGAATACTGTTGAGGCTTGTGCTATTGATGTTTGGCCTGATGTGGTTAGTATAATTTGCTGAAATTTGACATGAAATAGTGCTTGTTTAAGCTTATAATCTGGTCATGAAAGGTGACCATTTTTTTTACCTTTCCTGTTGTGGGAGGTCATATAATCTACCTGTTCCGTTGAACTATATTTTTCTTGGCTTGATATGCTTATGATGTACTAGAATATTTGTGGTCGTATCTATTTTTGCAGCTGATAAGGAGAACCTTGTAAAAAGTTCAGAATTTTCCTCGTTGATGTAGTCTCTGAAACAAAGTTCATGTTTTTTGTTCTCGTTCGAACTCTTACTGCAGAAGGATCACTTTCCTTTTATCTATTGTGTGGAGAATCTCGTATATGAGAACAACTATACCTACTGGGAAACTTGTTTCGAGAAATTGGGTTTGGATGCGTCTCCCGTGACTCGGTGTTTGAATAGTGAGCGTGGAACAGAGGTTAGTTTCTACTGAAGTAGTTACCCATTGCTATATAATGTGTTTTGTTGTATTTTTTTTCCCGGCAAGAGATATTGCTATAAGCCAAGATTTTTTTTTTTTTTGGGTTGATAGTTATTCTTGTTTCCTTTCTTCTTTGATATTTATGTTTTGGGGCTAGATTTTCTGCTTAGTTTTTATGTTCACTCTATTGGATGAATAACATATGCAGATGTGACATTGTCATTTACATAAGTCATTGATCCAATTAATTTAAACATGAAGTGGAACTTACAAGTGACATAGGAAATCATATTGACATATTCCTTATTTATTATGAACTTTAAATCTAAATAAATAGTTAATGGAATTTGTAGATTACTGTTAAATAAATATCTGCACAACATAATACCTATATTTCATTTTCTCTGTTATTTGTTTTTTCCTGAAGTCGTTGGAAATACAATTTGTTGTGGAGGTACAACTCTCATGGACATGAATCCGGGGGGTGAAAAATATAACTTGAGGTTCCATTTGTCCAGATCGTTAGTTGACTGAGCATGGGTTGCTATATTCGTATGTGCTATTTTCTGCGTGTTAAGCTTTCTGTCCAATTTAAGTAAGTTTCAAACAGCAAATACCTGTCATTAGTGAGTAAAGTTACTTATCAGTTAAATATTTATAACCTATCTATAAGTGAGATCTTCTTCTGCGTGCTCCAAGTTTGTTACTTCGTCATTCTTTCACAAGTGCGTGGACAAGTATGTTATTTGTTTTATCCTATAATCTCTGTTTATTTAGACCTATTGGTCGCATCTCTGTGCATCCTTTCTGAATGTGTGGAATGACCCGTCATTCATAATTGATCTCCACCCCAGATGTTAATTAACTACTGTATGCGGCTAGTTTGACACATGTTAATGAATTGGAAAATAAAGAAAGCTGGTTTTTAAACAGAAAAAAGATCTATTCATCTTTTGTACTTTAGGAATTTGGATTAGAAGTAGCATGAACGAGCCTTAAGAATCTCAAAGGATGCCGATTTTTCATGAAGTTCCAGTGAAGAATAAATCATCACAAAGTTTGCTCTTGCAACATAGTATTTCTTTCTCTTTCCTAGTATCCAAATGATAGAATTATACATTACACCTAGAGATTTACACCAATTTATTTTAATGTGAAGATGGTGTTGGGAAGGAATTTCTTAAGTCAAGTTTTAAGAAGTTTTTGCTATGAAATACTAAAGGCTATTGTACTTGGTTCATCTGCCCTTATGAATGTCAATCCTATATTTAACTATCCTATAATTTGGTATTCTGAAAAGGACACGTAACTTGAAGGAAAACATAATGTGGAGCTTGTTGCGAGACTCTCTAATGGTGGTTAAGACATCTAAGTTAACACAACCAGTGTTTCAGTTAGTTGTTTGGCTAAATAAACAAGGCATGGAATTCTATGGGAGGATTATATGTTCCTTCTTTTTCTTCCATTTAATATATCAGTTGCTTGCCCTAGTGTGAGACAATGCTTATCCTTGGTAGTATCCGTCCTGGCTCTGATGATTTATTCTTTATTTGCTTCTTCATTAAGCATTTTCTACGCTCACCTAATATTGTGTGGAATGGTTATTGCAGCTTGAGCTTGGATATGCAGCTGAAACAAATTCACTTCAACCACCTCACACATATGTACCATGGGTGGTTGTGGATGGACAACCACTATACGATGTTCGTATTTTCCTCTACTTTTCCAGACTTGAGTACCCGTGTCATTTAATACTTATATGCTGGCACTCTGCAAGATAAGTAAATTATAATTTATTGACAATTAAACACCATAGATTATCTTTATTTGCATGATGCTGCTCAAGTTTGGTTGTTACAACATGTTACGGTTAACCAGATATTACCTATATATGTAATTCTTGCCAGTATTAGATATTGGTTTATCTAAAGACCGAAGCACATGAATCCTATTCCTGATATGTAATTCATGCACGCAGAGTTATCGACTTCCTCTGATAAATGTGATTTCCTCTGTTGTAGGACTATCGAGAATTTGTAAGCTATATCTGTAAAGCATATAAAGGAATGGCCAAGCCGTCTGCGTGCACTGTGTCCTCAGTAGGACAAAGTCGAAAAGCAAAAATGAATTTGATCAATGTTCTGTATGGGGATAAGACATACAGCTCAAAACCGTTTCAGTCAGTTCAGGATATACTCTCATGGCTAAAGCACAACAAAAAAGTAGCTTCCGTGTGACTGCTGCGCTATTCCATGATACAAAGGTTGTCTTTATCCAAATATGAAGTTCATATGTTCATACATTGAAAAGTTGAAGGTATTGTACCTTTGTGTAATATTGTTTTGTTTTTAAAATGACCTGCCAAGTGCCAACTGTGGTAGAGGCTTTTATGACACAGTGGTCTTTCATGGCAAACTGAATCCGCAAGCAGTTCAATGAGCCTTCTCGGCTAGGTCTAGTTGCTTTATTCAAGGTAAAATAAGTGGCCTCATGTATGCATTATATATATTTAGCATTTTAGTAGAGGACATAAACATTTAAGATACAAGATCCTTTAGTGAACATGTTCTGTACACATATCCTCCTATATATTAATTCATAATGTGTTGAGCCTAAGTGGCAGACTCGCATGCTTCGAGATTCTATGTGGCAAAATTAAATGTTTCGTTATTAGGCTTGACAGATTTTAATTTATTTCTAATCCAAAAACTAATTAGTTCCGCATTATTCGTATATATGTTGATTAGTATGGTCATGTTACATATATTAATTGCGTTTTAATATCATTTCTTATTATAAACCATTGAATTGTAAATGTATTTTAAAAGTTAATAACTTTTTTGTTTTTATCAGTTTTACATATATAATATATCAAATTATTCAACTTTTCATGAGTTTTGATTTAACATCCATATCGTATGTATAAAAAAAAATAAATTATTGTAGTGATAACTAGGGCTGGTATTTTTTGACAGAAAACCGAACCGAACCGAACCGAACCGACGAGAATATAAACCGAACCGAACCAACTCAAGTGTAACGGTAACCGAAGTGTTATGGTTCTGAACCCATTAAGGTTCGGTTTTACCGAACCGAACCGATAACGATATATATATTAAAAAAAAATCCTACATTGAGTCATTGACTAAGGTGAGAAATTAGAAATAAGGAAAAGATTATAGGGCTGGGACTTATTTTATGTCTCTGCTGCTCAAGTGCTCAGTCATTTTATCTTCTGCTAACTTTCTTTGCTTGTGATTTGTTTTAGACTTTTAGTTTGTGAAAAAATGATTAATGTGTTGTGATTCAGTTTTGATGATGGACCAACCTTTTATTGGATTTATACTACATGTTTATAATCAGTAATCAGTAGAAGGAGGCTCTGCTTATGTTCATTTTGCACAGGTCTTTTGCATGCTGCTGCTGTTTTTTTTTTCGGTTTTTTTGGTTTTTTATCGGTTTATACCGAAGCCGAACCGTTTCATCGGTAACCGACTTTTCGGTTACCGAATACTTATCGGTTCGGTTTCGGTCTGCAAAGTAGTGAAACCAATAATGTTCGGTTCGGTATCGGTTTCGTGGTATCGGTTCGGTAACCGAACCGATACCAGCCCTAGTGATAACGGTTGTTTTGTAATTTATGTGATTTAAATAAATTTATTTTGAGCTTGAATTTCTGGAAACGTATAAGATATGGAGGGAGATAATGAAGAAGTAGAAGGATTTAGAGAGAGAAAGATGGGAGAGAAAAGAGAATGCAGTTGCATAACCATATGGTTTTTCCCCTTTCATTTCACCAATAAGTAAATCCCAACAATTGGGCCCACAATCACAACCAACTCGTTTTACCTAAGAAAAAGACAAAAAAGAAAATTGGAAAATAACATAATTGTTCTTAATAAAAAATAGCATAATAAAATCTGAATCTCTTTTGGGCCACCACGTGGCCGGTGCGATCTCTACTTATCTGCTGAGCTCGATGGCCGGGATTGTGCCACGCGTCGCCTTGGGAACCTTATCCCCAAAATCAGACAAAGCTTGATCGCTTATCCAAATCTCCTTCACTTCATCTTCTCCAATTCCTTCTTCGTCGCCATAGCCATTTCTCTCGTCTGTTTCACCCGATCTCCCTTCAATTTCAACCAGAGTCATGACATTTCTTCCCCCATTTTTAGATCCTTGTCCACAAGGATCAAATCCTTTGAACTTTTTGAGGATAAATTTCTCGTCTTCCCAAGAAGTGATCCCTAGGGTTTGCTCACCCCAAGCCACCAGAATCTGTTCCACACTTTCATTACCTCGTTGTATGGTGCGTCTATCCAAGACTTCAGTGGGATGAGCATCGAATTGACCATCTTCTCCAGTGCTCGGCAATCTCTCAGCAGATAAGTCTTTCTCCCCTTTTTTCTCCTTTAAAAGAGAAACGTGGAACACAGGGTGCACTTTAGATCCTTCAGGTAGTTCAAGTTTGTAAGCAACCTTACCTATCCTCTCAATGATTTTGTAGGGACCAAAGAATCTGGAGCTGAGCTTGACATTTTTCCTTAACTACACTGAACTCTGGCGGTAGGGCTGCAGCTTAAGGTAAACCGTATCACCCACCTCATATTCTTTATCAATCCTTGATTTGTCAGCGTAGGCTTTCATCCTATCTTGTGCTGCCATTAGATTGTCCTTAAGCCCTTGCATCTTGAGTTGCCTTTGAATGATGAAGTCCTTGGCATCAAAGTTAGGGGAGTCAAGGTAGGCTTTGAGTGATAGTGAAGTAGGTGAGTAACCGTATAAAGCCTCAAATGGGGTAGACTTAAGAGCTGTGTGGTAATTAGTATTGTACCAATACTCAGCCATAGTTAGCCACTTAAACCATTTCTTGGGAGAATAATGTACCATACACCTCAAATAGTTCTCCACACACTGATTCACCCTCTCTGTTTGCCCATCAGTTTGGGGGTGATAGGAGGAAGAGAAACTCAATGTCACCCCCACCATCTTGAATAGCTCTTTCCAGAATAGACTTGTGAACACCTTGTCTCTATCTGTGATTATGCAAACTGGGAGACCATGAAGTTTATAAACATGATCCATGAACAGCCTAGCCACATCTTGAGCATTGTAAGGATGTGCAAGGGCAATGAAATGCCCATACTTGGTTAGCCTATCCACCACCACTAGAATTGAATTCTTACCCCAGGATTTAGGTAACCCTTCAATGAAGTCCATTGAAATGTGTGACCAAGCCTCATGAGGTATATAAAGGGGCTGTAGTAATCCAGAGGGGGGGGGGTGCATTTGTGGGTTTATTGATTCTGCAAGTGTCACACTTCTGTACAAAGGCCACAACATCACGCTTCATCTTAGGCCAGTAGAAAACCCTTTTCAGTCTCGTATAGGTCCCTTGCATCCCAGAATGCCCTCCCAATGAGGACTCATGCATAGCTGAAATTATGTTTGTCCTTAGTTCAGGGTTTTGACCTATGAATGATCTGCCCTTGTACATTAATACCTCATTCTTCCACTTGTAATTTACCTCAGAATCTGGGGTCACAACTAATTTTTCCTTCAATTCCCTGATGAAAGGGTCCCCTTCATAGCTGTTAATAACCTCTGTCACTCACTTGGGAATCATAGTGGTCAAGGCTGTGCAATCCACTGTGCCAGTTGAAACCCTGGAAAGGACATCTGCTGCCTTGTTCTCCTTCCCTTTCCTATAGTGGATTTCATAATCCAACCCCAATAGTTTGATAATTCACTTTTGTTGCCAAGAGGATGCCACCTTCTGATCCAGCAAATATTTGAGAGATTGTTGGTCGGTTTTGATGAAAAATTTGTGGCCTTGCAAATATTGCTTCCATTTCTGAACTGCAAGTAGGACAACAAGAAACTTCTTTTCATATATGGATAGGGCCTGATTCTTAAGGCACAAATCCTTACTTAAGAATGCAATGGGTCTTCCCTCCTTCATAAGTACTGCCCCTATCCCTAAACCACTTGCATCAGTTTCTAAAGTAAAGGGTAGAGAGAAATTAGGCAAAGATAGAACCGGTGCTGTTGTCATGGCTTCTTTTAATCTCACAAAGGCCTTGTCAGATCCACTCCCCATTTAAACTGATCTTTCCTTAGTAAGGTGGTGAGGGGTTTGCTGATTTCACCATATCCCTTGATGAATCTTCTGTAATACCCTGTTAGGCCCAAAAAACCTCTAAGCTGCTTTACTATAGTAGGTGTTGGCCATTGCAAAATGCTTTCCACCTTTTTAGGGTTTGTGGCTACCCGCTCTACAGAAATGATGTTGTAAGCCCCGACCCAAAAATAATATATTTAGCTCGACTTTATTTATCAAAATTAGTAATATTTTAATTATGCCGAGAATTATTAGTTCGGAAACGAGATAAAATCCTAAATCTAAGTCTCGATTTATTAGTTTTATCGAGTATTAGAAAAGTCGGGAATTTATTTAATTCCCGAACAAGCCCAATTATTATTTTCTCGGCCCACGTAGTATTATAATTATTGAGCCCAAAACGTATTATTTTCGCTAGCCCGATTATACTAGTCCAAGCTCGATTATTGGAGGCCCAATACACACTTCAAACCCTAATTCTCTCATATATAAATAT